CATCAACGTCTACTGGATACGTCGGTTCTGTAGCCTATCCAACAAGCTATGTTATTCATCCACCAGCACCGCCTCCTCACACGGGAGCTACCGTGCCGCCAGGTCATCCGCATCAACATCCGCATCCTCAAAGTTTGCCAGATGCGGCGTTCTCCTCCAGTCAAGGTATGTATATACATACATTTTAAAAATGGACAACACATTCTGAAAAAAATACATTCTGAAAACGCTAAAATATCTCGAAAACGAATATCAACTCTAGCGAAACATATCTGTTTAAGATTATAAAGTCATTTCTGACGAGAAGGCTTCCGAATCGTTCTATCATGTATTTATTTTATCGACCTTCGAGCGATCTGTAGTTTATAATCCATAAAAACGGATTCTCGCGCTCGAAGGTTCTGGAATGCGAGTTAGAAGCGGTAACGTCGCTTCAAAAGGAAGAAAAACGGCTTAAAATTGGCTGTCTGTCGTCGCGCGATGAATCTAAGCTAATCGAGTCGTCACGCACGAACAAAGGATCTGCGATCCTGCCGAAAACGAGTGTGTGATAGCGTTAGTACGTAAGTAGAGAACCAGCCGCGCGGACTGCGTGATAAACCGTCCGTGTACCGACACCCGAAGCCAGGGATCCGTGAATTAAATAAAATCGTTTGTACGCTATCGAACAATATCTCAAAGTAAAATTGTAGGACTACAAAAAAATCTACCTAACTGATGATAAGAGGTTGATTTTGGATGGAGTCTGCAAGGTCATATAAAGATCAACTTGAATCTTTTAAATACCCCCCTTTTTATTCCATACTCTTATAGTTTATTTTAAGAGCTTTTCAAAACACTACAGTAAAATATTTGTTTATTAAATATTTTTCGAGTTGTAATTGAAAGTTACAGTATTTACATACAGGCATTAGCATTACCCAAGATTTAACGCGTGGAGATAACACGGTAAGATCTACACCTCGTGTGTATGTGTGCGCACTCGTGTGTGTGTGAGACATACCTTTTAAGATATTGGTTTCCATTTCTTCAATGAATCAAATGTTCAAAGTGTCTTTCTTCTATCGTTTGATAGAATTTTTGATAACATTTTTTTTAAATAGTAATTGATAAATAGTAAATTGCTGAGAAGTATAAAAATTTATTGCGAGACCATGTCATACCTAGTATTGACAACTTATTTGATGCCACATGAAAAATGTTTGGTTCCAGCAAGATGGAGCAGGACTTCACTATACGCATTAAAAATTCAAGAATTTTTGAATCGATATTTTCCTTATCGATGGAGGTAGGAGAGGTGCCATTGAATGGCCTACTAGATCATTTGATTTGTCTTTTCTTGAATATTTTCTTTGGGACATCTCAAAAGTAAGGTTTATGCGGCAAAATTACATAATTTGGAAAATCTTAGGAATCGAATAGTACACGAAGCATCTCTGATCACTTTAGAGTTTAAAACAAATAAGAGAAATGTGATGAATAATTTTTATGAACGTTTAGTTCATTGTCAAATGATAGAAGGAAGACACTGAACATTTGATTGATTGAAGAAATGGAAATCAACAAGAAATGAAAATCTTAAAGTTAAAAAATATATCACTCACACTTGCACACACACACACACACACAAGAGGTGTAATTCCGTGCAACTTCCACGCGGTGAACCTTGAGTAATGCTAATGCTGACGGTACTGTAACCTTCAAACCTTTTAACTTCAAAAGTATTTAATGAAAAAAATATTGTACTATAGTGTTTTGAAAAGCTCTTAAAACAAACTATAAGAATATGGAATAAAAAGGAGGGTCCTATTTAAAACTTGACCTTCATATGATCTTGCAGATTCCACCCAAGATCAACCTCTTATCATCATAGGTAGATTTTTTGTAGACCTACAACTTTGCTTTGATCAGGAGCTGATGTCGAATTGCCTGAATTCGATCCCATCATTGTGACGAAAGAGTTCGCAGTTGGCGGTAGTTGTTGATTACTTGTTTGTTAATAGCTGGACGATACGGAGAGATTGGGATACGTAACAGTGGCCGGGAAGCTATAAGTCGAAGTCGATATTTTTCAGTAGAATTAATTGTTTTCGAGATATTTTAGCGTTTCTAGATTTTCTCAAGTATATTATCCTGTATATTACGCATATATATATACTTTAATATTAATCAATACAATAAGCATATTATTGTTTTTAAATATTATTTTTACTTTTACTTTACTACTTTATTAATTTATTTATTTTTGTTATAAAACATAACAAATAACGAGATGATTGCTACGTTCTATTTCAGTTTCCGAATTGTATTCGCCTCATCAATTGGCGGAACCGGTGACACGACTATCATCAACCGTTGGATCGACTTCGACTTATAGCTTCCCGGCCACGGTTACGTACCCCAATCTCTCCGTATCGTCCAGCTATCAACAAACAAGTAATCAACAATTACCGCAAAATGCGAACTCTCTCGTCACAATGATGGGATCGAATTCAGGCAATTCGACATCAGCTCCTGATCAATTAGCTTCGTCGGAACTTCCGATCAGCTCGGTTTCCCCTCAACAACAACAACAGCAGCAGCAGCAGCAAACGCAACAGACTAATCAAGGAACTACATCACCATCATGGAATCTCGCAATAACTGCTAGTGGCAGTAGAGTTAATCTATCGAGTCCTCCAACAAGTTTGCAACAACCTCACGTTTATAGCACACATCCTCATCAAGCTTTTACTAGCCCTTATACTGTGCAGAGCTTTCAACAACCACCTAGGCCAGCGCCACAGACTTTCTGGTATTAAAGCATGAAATGAGTCATCCTCAACAAGGTCACATCTAGAGTATATCTTCACGGATTTTGCTACGATTCAGAAAATGCTTATGGTGCGTGTGTGTACGTCCAAGCCATTGACAACCAAGGTCACCTAACAGCCAATTTACTGTGCTCCAAGTGGTGCTAATCAAACCCACCTCGATACTCAGATTGAAGTTGTGCGGTGCGGTTATACTGGCACACTTGGTCCACAACGTTCAACGAAGTCTGAAAATACCCATCGACGGCGTATTAGCCTGGTCGGATTCAAGGGTAGTCTTATATTGGATTCAAGAGGACGTCTCGAGGTGAAAACCCTTCGTAGCCAACCGCGTGATGGAAATAAATGAACTATTACCAGCAAAACATTGGCAGCATATTAAGGGAACTGAAAATTCCGCTGACTCTTAATATCACAAGGCACGACATTGCAACAACTCAAGGTTTCTGAGCACTGGTGGAAGGGACCGCAATGGTTACGACTAGAACTTCAGGCAGTTAGTATAGAGCATCAAGATTGCGATTCGTCCAAGGAAGTGACAAGGCAAGCTCAAGCAGAGGAGAAGAGAAGTACGCATGCCTGTGCTCTCATCAGCAACGAACAACATGTAATCCAAGAATTAGTAGACAAGTATTCAATATTGACACGCATCGAGCGCGTGTTCGCATATTGCTTACGTTTCCTAAGCAACGTGCGAAGGATTCCAAACGAGAGGATTCTATCACATTTAACTACGACGAAAATTGAAATCGCACGCATTCATCTAGTTCGCCACGTGAAATGAGCGTGTTTGTTGAAAAAATTGTCTCGTGCAACGACTACTTCAAGATTTCTGGAAACGGTGGGCGGCCGAATATTTGTCCAGTCTTCAAGGCCAAACAAAATGGAAGGGAGAACAAATTAAAATATGTGATTTTTTAAAAAACAAGGTGTATATAATATATATACGCATACCTATTATACATAGTTGTTTATAATAATAGAAGTAAATAATAAAGATTTAAACTTAATAATGTATTATTAAAATATTTAAGTTTTTTAATAATTGTAAATAATAATTAATTGTCGATAATAACGTTATTATTACCTACAATTAAGGTAAAAGTACCAATGACTGGCCACTGCCCATTTGTTGGCCACTGATGGAAGATTAATTTTTTTTTTAATATCTTTTAAACAAAATATAAAACATTTTTTTACTAATTAATATAATTTAACTATTTAGCTTTTTATATTAAAAATTGTGCTATTTAAAACTTTGTTTAAGATATTAAAAAATACATATATTTAAACGCTTCTTATTTAAATGTGGTCGAAGCTCGCGTTGAGTCTCCAAAGCTTTCCTACTTAACAAAGAATGCAGAGTCTGTCGAAGCTAGTGATTTATTTTCTAAAGATTTATAAACTATTATTATGTAAAATAAACAACCAACATGATTTCTTATTACTTTACTTGTTATTAGATAATAAGAATAAAAATGAAAAAGCAATAAAGAGTAATGATATAACAATGGATAAGAAAATTGAAGAAAAAACTCAAAAGCTTTGTAATTTTAAGAAGTCTCTTGAACAGCCTTTTGATATTCTTGATCAATCCTTGCAGTTCGTTCATTCCGGTTATTCTTTTTATTATTGTACAATAACATTTATACTTTAACATCGATTATCACTTGGGCACAGAAGTATAGATTATTTCATATTAGAAATATCCTGGGTATCTCATATTACGAGTATCACGTCTTACAGCTTTACGATCATCAAATCTAACTTCTTTAATTAAACAATTCAACATATTTCGTATTTTTCTATCAGTACGATCTTACTCTATTACTACATGAAGAATTTATTGCCAAATAATTACTTATTAAATAATAAACAAAGATTAAAGGCTTATCTCAATGAAACTCGAAAACATTCAAACTCTAAAATTTTATTTTACAATTACTGTAGGCATGATCTAACAATGAATTTTCCACTAAATAGTTTTCAATCCAAGAGCAATAATTTCATGATAGAATCAACAGATAGCATTTATTAGTTTAGCAGAAACGCGGCTATCTCATGTTAAGCGCCTATCTCATAATAGGGGGCTTTCCTCTAATAAATAATAATAATAAACGCGCACACGCACACGCGCACGCACACACACACACACACAGACACACAAAATTTTTATTGTTTTGTTACTTACGTCATCCCATGATTTTGATTGTGTTTGTTGGCGGCAGTCTTGGCTGTGCTAAAACAGAAAAAAGAAAGGGTTAAAAAGAAATGCAGTTAATAATAATATACTTACTTTGATTTGTTATGTTCTCCCGTAGATGATACTATCTCAATGCTGAAACAGAAAAATAACAATATATTATTTTAAATATATTACTATTGTAATATATCAAATATCAGCCGAAAGCTACATACACTTTATGTATGTTCACTTTGTACTAGCACCTTTAATTAATAATATATCAGTTACTTTTCATAGTAATATAATATATTATTATTAGATAAAAAGGTGTAAATTTTTGAGTATCCTTTTTTGAAAATGGCTTGAACTTTTCATTTTTATGATATAATTTTTTCGGATATCACTTACTTTTTAGAGTACAAATAAATAGAGTATAAAATCATCACTAGGTATAAACATTTTCAACTGTTTGATACATGGTCATTGAAAGTGCGACGTTGCCATGTCCACAACTATTTTAATTAAGTTAAGGTATTGAAATAACGATTTATTTGTCAACAATATTTATTTGTTTATAACTTAATTTTTATCAGAAGAAAATAGGACGGAAACGAAATTATACATATTGGTATTTGTTAACTACATTATCATTTCCTAACTTAATTAACAAATATCAGTTTATAATTTCGTTCCGTCCGATTTCCATTTATTACATACTAAGTTATAAACAAAGGGTGTTGGTGACAAATTAACTGTTATGTCGTCATAATTTCTTAGCTTTTAATTAACAAATACCAGAATATGACATCGTTTTCGTTCGTCTCTTTTCATTAAATATTAAATAGATATCGTTGACGAATAAATCGATATATCATTAACATTTCCTAGTTTATTTAACAAATACTAGTGCATAAATTTGTTTTCGTATAATCTCTTTTTATTAAATTTTAAATTATAAACAAATGGATATTGGTGGCGGATGAATTGTATCATTTTAATTTCCTAACTTAATTAACAAATACCTGCGTATAATTTTGTTTCTATCTGATCTCTTTTCATTAAATATTAAGTTATAAACAAATAGATATCGTTGACGAATAAATCGATATACCATTAACATTTTCTAGCTTATTTAACAAATATTAGTGTATAATTTTCGTATAATCTTTTTTTATTAAGGTAGTTAAATCCTAAAGCACAATTATTCAAGAATGTCTTGAAACTTTCGTCTCAAGTCATTTAGGTATTAATACATATGCCTGTAAAATTTGAGCTCGATTTATCGTCCCGTTCGTTTCTAAGATATAATCGATCAAACTTCACCGATTTTTCTATTGCAGTATAGCCATTTTCGCCGTGATATGACACGGATTTTCATACAGCATCGAAACCGCTTTTAAAAAGTTAATGAAAAATAAATCCTATGTAATTGAATTTATGAAGAAACGTGTGTAACAAGACCGCAAATATTCATCGTATGATACTAATATAAAGTTTGAGTCAATAAAAAAATCTTGATTTTATACATTCTCTCGAGAATTGACGAAGTCTATAATACCATATTCTGGTATTTGTTAATTAAAAGCTAAGAAATTATGACGATATAACAATTAATTTGTCACCAACACCCTTTGTTTATAACTTAGTATGTAATAAATGGAAATCGGACGGAACGAAATTATAAACTGATATTTGTTAATTAAGTTAGGAAATGATAATGTAGTTAACAAATACCAATATGTATAATTTCGTTTCCGTCCTATTTTCTTCTGATAAAAATTAAGTTATAAACAAATAAATATTGTTGACAAATAAATCGTTATTTCAATACCTTAACTTAATTAAAATAATATACTAAGAAATAATAGCCAATTAAGAGCCAACACAAGAACGTCGTGTGTAAAATTTTTAATTCAATAAATACAAAGTAATTATAAACGTTTCGACCCTATATTCGGGTCCTTATCAATATATAAATAAAGATATTAATATAATAAAATCGCAAGCATAAGATGTTGTTCAAACTATCAATTCCTGTTCATCTAAGTGAAAGCTTAACTGTAAAAATTTTTTTAAAAAAAGCGATGTTTATATGAAGTTAAAATAGTCTAACATTTTAAAATTAAAAGACTCACATGATTGTCAAGAATTGATTGTGTCGATAGCAATCTCATGTTGAAATATTGTAAAATTCCATTAAACTGTTCAGAAAACTAAAGGAAAAAATAAAAAA